CTCAAAAAATTAGTTTCTTTGTTATTTTCCCTACTAAAAAATTATTGGTGATGAACTGACTTACATAACGCAGAGAGGAAGATGGTACCTGAATGCAGAAGTTGAGCCAAAATGTCGCATGTAAATATGTACGTGAGTAACGAGTATGAACGAATAACAAATTATCACGCTTTAGCTTTTCAATATTCGAATATTCAAGTTTTTCGTGATACTCAAGTGATCTACTCGTGAAAATATGAGCTACACTGAATTTTCCATGTGACAAAACCCTATTTTTTTAGACGATAGAGTATGGAAAGGGTACAAGTAGATTACGTTTGCTTTCATAAAGCTATTTTCCCCATTCAAGAGCTGAAAGCTGTATCAATAGTATGCTAATTGAGATTATCCAGAAGATTTTTCTTCTGCATACTTCCAAATTTTTTCAACCCCAAGACTGTTTGAATTGTCAAAGCTTACACTTGATGCGACATTTTGTGGTTTTGAAAGATTGTTTTTGACATTCTCGCAAGTTGTTTTCATACTACGAGTACAACTCCGTAAATCATCATTTCTAAGGCATCGATTTTATATCTAGGCAAATTTTTCAAGTGCGAAGAAGTTTTAAGAGGGTGTGTTAAGTAAGATCAAAAGATCTACAATGACTTAATGTCTCCTATTGAGGTATGAAAATGTTAATTACCTCCTTCCTCGAAAATGCATTTTGATGGGGTTTGGTCTAAATCTTGAAATTGTTTCTCCCTTTTTAATCAAAATATTCACATCAATTTTGCTTATATCAAATCTGTATTATTGGGCCAGCCCTAAGGCTTTTCAAATTGCGATGAGCTTGCAAGATCTTTGAGAAATGCTTAGTGTTATCGAGCCTTTCGTTTGTAAAATCTTCGTATCACCACTACGTACCTCCCTTCTCATCAGAAAATCATGACAAAAATAGAGAAAGACGAGTAATTCAGTCCTCCGTTTGCAAGAGTCAAGAGTGTTTGTAAAATTTCCGCAAATAAATAATTTGTTAGATTCTTCGCATTACTTAAAGCAAAAATCATCCATTTCAGCCAGTCACTTTATATTGCGGACATTCGCTGTGCTCGAAATGCTGCACAGCACTACTGGAATCTTCCGGAGTAAACACAGCACCTCGACGTACGAGAATTCGAATGGGGCTGAGTAGTGTCAGCTATTCGCGACTCGAACGAAAAAATAGCTCGCAGTGAGTATTCTTGAAAACCTTTCTTCAGTGAACCTTGTGCAAATATTTACAAAATCTCAAGAATCGTATTGTCAGGTCCGTAAACTCTGTGCGATCTACTGGTGTCATTTACAAATCTCCACAATGCATTGTATGTGGGGAACGAGCGAGAACGGTAATTTTGCAATCAATAAAATCAATACTGAAGTTTACTTGCTTATTTTAGACCCCTCCTGTACCTAATCTTGAGCTAGCCAATTTTCTAAAGACACTCAAAGTGGAGAAGATGACCGAGCATGAGAATCCAGCTTATAGAGAAACGGATGACGATAGGTTTGTAAATTTTCAAGATTTTTTGCTATCTACAAAAATGGAGAAAGTCTCGAAATTAGTTTCAGCATGTCTTTTGAAGAAGATAATTGTCGACGTATTAGAGAGTGCAAAATTGGAGTAGTGGGAGCTTCAGGAGTGGGCAAAACAAGCTTGGTAAGTTAGCTCCTAG